GAGGGGCTGGGGAGCCGTGGTTCCACTTGAACTCCTGCAGGACGCACTAAAGTAAGTCCTCGGGGAGAGAAATTGGGTCTCCATCGCCTAAATAGAGGCGAGGTGGCCGGGCTGGGGGTGCGGCGGATTGGGCCCGGCACTCTTTGAAGTGCCGGGCCGCTGCCCATTGGCCGCCCGCGGCCATATCAGACCCGCCGGGCGGGCCCGGGAGGCCCGGGGCCAACAATGGGCTTCCGCGCTCCAGTTTCCTGTAAGTGAGGCGTCGCGGCGCAGTCCCTACACCCCCGCCCTCCCCCAAAAGTTTGCACCTCCATCAAAGCGGCGGGGCGGGCCTGGGAGGAAGGCGGAGAGAGGGCCCGGAGCGTTCCCCGCTCTCCGAGCGCACCCGGAAGCCGGCGATGATGCTGCCGTCGAGTGGCCGCTGCGCGCACCTGCGCTGGACCGGACGCGCGGTCCCTCCCTGCGCAGCCGGGCGGTGAGCGCTGCGGGTCTTCATCTCCCCCTGCGCCCGGACTCTAAAGTGGAGCAGCTTCGGGACCTGCCCCTCGCCCCGTGGCGTCGGGGAGTGCCACTAACGCCCGCCTCGGCGCCCACAGCCTTCACCTGTCGGGAGCGGGAAGCCCAGTGCGGATCTGTCCAGAAAGGTAGCGACTCTTGTAAGAGGTCTCCTGCTTCCCGCACAGACTGGACTTTGGAGGGGAAATCTACGCGGGTCCTGAGCGGCCCGGGGATGCCCGGCGTCTTTCCTCTTGTGTGTGCGGACCTGGGTGCGTTTCCCCACCCGTCTCAGAGCCAAGCAGTGTCGGCTGCAGTTGGTTTATTACCTTTCGGTGAGAACCTCTGCGGGGAAAGCCCGGCGAAGGTGACAATGAACAGGAAATAGTTCAGCTGGGTCTCTTTAAACAATAACATTCCTCTAAAACCAGCCCAGCCGGCAAAGCAAAGGCAGCCGAGGCTCTAGCTAGAGCACTTTAACGAGGGCCTGCTTACAGCCTCGGTTTCCCGGGCTCCCCAACGCACCGTACCGGGATGCTCGCTATGAGAAGCCTGTCCGTCAGGTGGGGCGCCGGGTTCTGACATTCCTGCATCTCAGCGAGAGCCCCTCGGGGACCTGGCCACCCCTGGCCAGGTCGGAGTTGCTAATGGAGCCACGGGAGGCATCCCAGGCGCCGGCTCTGGGCGCTCCCTGCGTGCGATTGTGGGAGAGGGTCTTCCAGGAGCCTGCCGCGGGGAAGGGACCCTGGGGTGGGATGGAAACGCGTCCTAGGCAGCTCCCTCCGCCCTTTTCCAAATGACGACCTGAGGGCGGCGAGGGTCATCTTTGTCTCCCTTACTTGCTCTTTGCCCCCTAGGATGTATAGAAGCCCCCAAAAGGAGAAAGTTCCTTCTGCAAAGAGACACCAAAAGGCCCTCTTTTGCGCCCAACCTGCTAACCCTGATCCTTCTGGAGATACACACCAGTGTGCATCTTGCAGGCAGTGTACTGGTGAGCCTTACTTCCTTGCATATGCTAAGGCCTAGGACTCCCTGAGCCCCCACACTTGAAATACAGGAACTAAGTGGAAGGGAAGCGGAGGGCTAGGGAGGAAGAGTGACGGGTGAATGAGGGTCTCTAAGCTCTGAGGTGAAGGCAGAGCTCGCCCTGGGGCTGTATGTACTCAGAGATGGATTTTTCCCAAGGTCCAAGGAGGTCATGGAAACTGCAGACCTAACAGATCACTCTAAAACTGTGCTCCAAACAGAAGGGGCAAGTCAAATAAATAATGTTACATTTCTACCCTGAGCAATGAAGTCTCTACTTTCCACAGTGTGTAAATATTGAAGTTCTATCCCTGGACTCCTGCTGGAAGTTACCATTTCAGGTCTTAGCTACTGCCCTTATCCTCTTCTGTGACTTCTGATCTTTGCCTCTAGGTCCCAGGGACCAGATTCTCACCCACAGCCTTTTCAAGGGAGGCTACAGTGCATGACAGTTTACAGCCAAAAACTTCCTCCAGCCCAGCTGTAAAGAATTCGCAGTTAATAACCTAGGCTTCCTTGGGAGGGAGGTGTGGCCTTGGCACATCCAGCAGCTTCTCTCTCAGGTTATCCTGTCACTAGGAAGCCTCACCATCCCAAGAAAAAGCAGGAAGGCCTTATGCCTAGGCCCCTGCACCTAAGCCTTCCCACCCAAAACAAACAAACAAACAAAAAAGGCCTAGGAACCATAAATGTATGCACACTGCAATTCCCAGAGGGCTGGTTTTCACTGGACTCAGACCCTCCTCAGACAACAAAGCCTGGTGTCCTTGGGAGCTGGTCCCAAAGAGAGATGACAGCCTATGTTCTGACCTCACACTCAGGCTTCTCTTGAAAGAAATAAAAACCCATATTTCTTTTCTGATTCTAGGACATAATGTATACCGGTACTATAGAATTTGTGCACAGACACGTGGGCCCGCATCTCTGTTCGGGTTACTGGTTGTTGACCTTGTCCCCAGGCTGACTGAGCAGCACTCCCAAGTCCTGGATTAAGAGCAGCACAGAGACAGCTTCTGAGCAAATCTGACCCCAGCTGGTTTGCCTCCGTATGAGATTTTTACAAGTGCTTTTTGACATTGTGCAATTCTTCAGACGCCTCAGTATTAAACCTCTTTTAATAGAACATTGGATTGGGGGCTAGAGAGATGGTTCAGTGATCAAGAGTACTGAGTGCTTGGGCAGGGGACCTGAGTTCTGTTCCCAAGCACCTACATGTCAGTTCACAACAGCTGGTAACTCCAGTTCCAGGAGATCTGACGTCCTCTTCTGATAAACATGGTACACATGCTTATATGCAGGCAAAACATTCATACACAGAAAATAAAACAAATCAATCTTTGCTTTTTTAGAGACAGGGTCTCACTATGTAGACCAAGCTGGCCCCAAACTCACAGAGATCCACCTGCCTGTACCTCCCTAGTGCTGGGATTATAGGCATGGGCCACCATTAAAAATAAAGTTTTTTTTTTTTTTTTTAATAAAGAACATTGGATTATTGGAGTGGCTGTGGTTTTGTAGATGGTGGACTTTTAAAGTCATTCTCTAGCCGTGGGCCAGCTGTCCACAGATCTCATCAGTCACTGGTCACTGTGATTGTAGGAAGAGAGCCACCAAGCAGACTACAGAGGTCCTAAGCTGGGGTGGGGGTGGGGGCACTGCCCCACAGGAGGAGAACGGGGTGAGGGCAGCTGCAGAAGCATCTCCAGGCCAAATTCCATCCTGGCTGTCCTGAGCCACCGAGCTTCGTCACACACAATGGCATCTGGTTGGCTTGGAGCTAGAGTTTGCAGGTTGAAAGCCAATCAACCAACCAACCTAGAATCAGACCACTTCTTCAAACTCCAAGCACCCTGTTCCCGGCACTTTGAATTTAAGGCTGCAGAGGGGACTCTGTGCATCTGGCTTGCTGCCCTACAGGGTAGGTAGCTTGGGTTTTCCATGCCCAGGAGCTCCAGATTTCTTCATGATGAAGTGGGGATCTCTTTGAAATTACTCTTCCTGGGAGTGGGGAGAGCGGTCTCTCCTGCCCACCTCACAGCTCCGTCTGGCCCCGGGGAGGGTCTTGGTACAGTTTCTGCCTTGGGGGTTGCCTGCACTTGCAAATGATCACCCCTGCCTGTCTTCATTCTCCTGTCTTCTCCCCAGAGCTGTTTCATCTCTGGGGTCTTTCTGCATGTATTAAATGATGTGTGAAGTGTTTTCACCACACCACCCTGTCAATTTGCCTCCATGTCACTCTTGGGGTTTTACTGCAGAGTTTATTTCTCTCCTGGCCCTTTGAGTTGCTGGCAGCCCTGGTTCCCTCTGAGTTCCTGTCACGCTGTTTATTCCATGGTCTTCTATGGCAGCCTTTTGCTCCTTGGGGCTATTTGTGCTTTCCAGAGTCTGTGGGGTTCTGTTTTATTGGTGACTACTGTGGGTTAGTACTTCTTAATCTTGCATAACCTTCCCACTCCTTCTTAAACCCTTTCAGGGAAGTGCCTTGTGATTTCTCCTCCTTCCTGTACCCCACCTGGGCTCAATCTCAGCAGTAGACACCTTCCACAGCTTCATACACAGATGGCTTGACTCAGACTGGGGACACCCCATCTTCCTGTGCAAGAGACTGGCCATGAAACGCTGTTGCCACTATGTTCAGTAGCAGCAGTTATGGCCCTCAAACCTACCCACAAGTGATATTTCAACCACAGCCGACACTGACCAAGTGGCAGCCCTGAGTACTCCCTAATGACAGGTGCTGCAGAACTTGGGGAGGCCTGCCTCTCCTCCATTGATGGCAGTTTCCCTGGGAAAGTGTTGACTGAAATCTTCAGAAAGTTAAATGATCCTTCCCAGAGGAAGCAGAAGTGAGGAGCAGACTCAGAATCATGCTGGGGCTCTAGGTCATTTAGACTGACTGTGCGCAGGTGATGCTACTGTGTTTACTCTCCCTCTACAGCTCGTTTGGGGAGGCCCTGTTTGGCACTGGGTGGGACATGAAACCTCTACAAATCCCACTTGTAGCAGAGAAGGTCTGGAACTTGCCTGTGGAAGCACTCACTGCGGGTGCTCCTGCAAGGCAGCTTTAATTCCAGGGTCTCTGTCTCAGGGAATTGTTGGCATTGCATCCTAACCACAGTGGATTGAAACCAGGCAGGCTCTGAGCTCCAACTGGGACCCTGCATTAACCTAGGAGAGCAGAGAAACGGGAGAGGGTGCAGAGCTCCCTTGAGAACCAGGGCCTGGGCCTGAGCTTCCTAGACAGCAGGCCTATGGAGAATCTGAGTACCCGAGAACGAGGGGAGGCCAACCAGAACCCCAAACTGAGACAGAGC